AATTATTCTTGTAATACAGACTTGAGAGAATTTGAATATTTGAGTACAGAACACTTTTGAGATGAGAAATGCAGAATTGTATTAATTGGAAACTACTCTTTTAGATTAATAGGTAAGATTAAGAACAGAATTTAAAGGCTGTGCATGCACAAGAGATATCAGAAAGGGAATGTCTTCCAAAAACTCCCCAGCTTTGCAGGATTTCAGGAAACTGAAGGGGACTGTGGCCATGCTTCTGTGACTGCATAGATAAAAGGACATCCCAGCACTGCTTTTCATAACCATTGTATCCTATAAGCCTAAGAATTTCTAATAGCACTCATCCTACTGGTCAAATTGCTATTTCTGTAGTTGAGGTTAAAAAAATGCCAAATAGGGAAAGTTACTGTGCACTTGCTCCCATGTAGAACCTCTATCCTTAATGTGTTGTACTATGCAAATTAATGGTAAAACTAGTCTTAAAACAGTACTTTATACTTTGTATGTTGGTGTGGATGCAAGCTATTGAAATCTTTACTTAGCATATAGTTGATCATCTGTATATAAAGATAATTAAAAATGAATCTTAATGAAGAATGGGACAGGAGAGGGAATAGGAGATGGAATGATTTACAGATGGGAGGGTAGTTATGGGGGAAAAAAACCGCCATAATCCAAAACTTGTGCTTTCAAAATGTATATTTATTAAATAAAAGTTTTCTAAAAAAAAAAAAAAACATAAAAACAAAGTGCAAAATCCAAACTTACAAAAATATGAAAGAAAAATTAATCATTCTTTATTCCTACCTTTGACAAATATTCAAGAAATTTCATTCTTAATAGACCATATACAATTTCTTGTTTAATCTCATAGTGATAATATGATTATGCTACATGAGTCTGTATGTCTATATTTTATAAATATGTAATTTTTCATATACTACAAGCAACACACACTTCTTTACAGTGGACCAGACTTTAGGGGAGAGCATTTATGAGAGAAATTAAATGATGGGAAGTACCATAGAAAGTATAAAAGTTGATTTACTCTGCTGCAGGCCTCAGTCCTCACTGACTTGCAGGGTACATGATGTCTCTAATATTGGGATGGCATCAGGATGAGAGTTATTTGGAAGATTGTTCCTTTTTTGTTTTTTCTCCTATTTCTTTCTTTAAAGTTTTGTAATTATAATAGTAGAGATCTTTGGCATCCTTGATTAAATTCATTCCAAGATATTTGACTTTTTGTAGCTATTGTGAAGGGGATTGATCTCAGAAAATCATTCTCACCAGTGCCGCAGCTCACTAGACTAATCCTCCACCTTGTGGCGCCGGCACACCGGGTTCTAGTCCTGGTCTGGGCACCGGATTATGTCCCGGTTGCCCCTCTTCCAGGCCAGCTCTCTGTAGTGGCCAGGGAGTGCACTGGAGGATGGCCCAAGTGCTTGGGCCCTGCACCCCATGGAAGACCAGGAGAAGCACCTGGCTCCTGCCATCGGATCAGCGTGGTGCACCGGCTGCAGCGCGCTGGCTGCGGTGGCCATTAAAGGGTGAACCAATGGCAAAAGGAAGACCTTTCTCTCTGTCTCTCTCTCTCTCACTGTCCACTCTGCCTGTCAAAAAATAAATAAATAAATAATAAAAATAAATAAATAACTAAAAGAAAATTGTTCTCAACCATGGCCTTGTCTGTGTATATGAAGGCTGTTGGATTTTGTGTATTGACTTTATATCCTGCTATTTTACCAAGCTCTTCTATGAGTTCCAATAGTCTCTTAGTGGAGTTTTTTGGATTCCCTATATATATAAAACATCATGTCGTCTGCAAATGGGGATAATTTGACTTCCTTCCCAATTTTTATCCCTTTTATTTTTTTCTTGACTATTGTATTTAAAACTTCTAATACTATATTGAATAGCAATGGTGATAGTGGGCATCCCTGTCTGGTAAAGCATCTTAGTAGGAATTCTTCTAACTTTTCCCCATTTAAAATAATTCTGGCCATCGGTTTGTCATAAATTGCCTTGATTGTGTTGAGGAATGTTATTTCTATATTCAATGTAATTAGACTTTTCATTATGAAAGCGTGTTGCATTTTGTCACATGCTTTCTCTGCACATATTGAAATAATCATATGGTTTTTGTTATTCTATTATTAATGTGATATATCAAATTGACTGATTTGTGAATATTGAAACATCCCTGCATACCAGGGATAAATCCCACTTGATTTGAGTGAATGATCTTTCTGATGTGTTGTTGGATTCAATTGGCCAGAATTTTACTGACAATTTTTTGCATCTATCAACATAGATGATCATAGATCAAGGAGATTTGTCTGTAGTTCTCCTTCACTGTTGCATCTTTTCTGGGTTTAGGAATGAAAGTGATGCTGGCTTCATAGAAAGAATTTGGGAGGATTCCCTCCCTTTTGATTTTTTTAAATAATTTGACATGCATTGGAGTTAAATCTTTTTAAAAGTCTGGTAAAATTCAGCAGTGAATCCTTCCATTCCTGGGCTTTTCTTTGTGGGGAGCATGTTTATTACTGATTCAATTTTTGTCTTGGTTATGAGTATGCTTAGGTTTTCTGTAACTTCATGGGTCAATTTAGGTAGGTTGTATGTGAACAGGAATCTATTCATTTCTTCTAGATTCCTCAGTTTGTTTGGCATACAGCTCTTTGTAGCGGTTTCTTCATTCTCTTTATTTCTGTGGTCTGTTGTGAAATTTCCATTTTCATCTCTAATTTTATTGATTTGTATCTTCTCTTTCCGTTTTTTAGTTAGTTGGGTCAATGGCATTTCAGTTTTGTTTATTTATTCAGAAAACCAGCTCTTCATTTTGCTGATCTTTTGTATTTTTTGCTTCAATTTTGTTAATTTCTTCTCTTATTTTAATTGTTTCTTTTCTTCTGTTAGTTTTGGGTTTGATTTGCTGTTGTTTTTCTAGATCTTTGAATTGCATAGATAGTTCATTTATTTGGTGCATTTCCAGTTGATGTAGGCACCAATTGCCATAAACTTTTATTTTAAACCTGCTTTTTCTGTATCCTACAAATTTTGGTATGTTGTACTTTCATTGTCATTTGTTTCCAGTAAGTTTTTGATTTCTCATTTGATTTACTCTATGACCCACTGTTCATTCAGAAACATGTTGTTCACTCTCCATGTGTTTGCATGTGATGTAGAGATTCTTGAGTTGTTAATTTCCAGTTTCATTGCATTGTGATATTAGAAGATGCATGGTATGATTTTTTTTTAATTTGCTGAGACTCACTTTATGGCATATGGTCAATCCTAGAGAAAGATCCACGTACTAGAGAAAAAAAAATGTGTACTCTGTTGATGTAGGGTGGAAGGCTGTGTAGATATCTGCTAGGGTATTTTGTCTGTAGTGTCAATTAGTTTTGTGTATTCCTTGTTAATTTTCTGTCTGGTTCATGTGTCCATTGATGAAAGTAAAGTACTGAAGTCCCCCATTACTATTGTATTTGGGTCTATATCTCCTTTAAATCCCTTAACAATTCTTTTAAATAGCAAGGTGCCCTGTAATTAGGAATGTATACAATTATAATAGTGACATCTTCCTATTGAATTGATCCCTTAGTGTCCTTGTTTGTCTCTTTTAATAGGTTTTGTGTTAAAGTCTTTTTGTCTGATATTAGGATAGCCACACCAGCTCTTTTTTTTTTTTTGGTTTCTGTTATTACAGATTATCTTTTTCCATCCTTTCACTTTCAGTCTGTGTGTGTCTTTGTTGGTAAAGTGTGTTTCTTGTAGCAACAAATACATGGGTTTACTTTTTTTAATCCATTCAGCCAGTCTGTATCTTTTAACTAGGGAGTTGAGACCATTTATATTCAGGATGACTATTGTTAAATGCCATCTTTGCCCTGCCATGCTTCCATAAATAGTCCTGTTTATGTATTTTGGATTTCATTTGTACTTTTGCTGGGTCATTTTCTGCATTCATCTTCTTTTGTAATGATGTTCCTGTTTCTGTATGTAGCACATCCTTAAGAATCTTATGTATGACTGGGCAACTGGTTACAAATTCTTTCAATTTCTGCTTATTGTGGAAGATCCTTATTTCTCCTTCATTCATAAATGAGAGTTTTGCAGGGTACAGTATTCTGGGTGGACAGCTTTTTTCTCTTTGGACTTGGACTATATTTTGCCATTGTCTCCTTGCCTGTAGGGTTTGCGATGAGAAGTCCAGGATGAGTCAAATTGGGTTTTCTCTGAATGTGATTTGTCATTTCTCTCATGCATATTTTAAAATCTGTTCTGTGTTTTTCACTGAGCTGAGTTTTGCTACAATGTGCCATGGTAAAGTTCTTTTCTGGTCCTCTCTATTGGGAGTTTTGTGTATTTCTTGTACTTGGATGTCTCTTTTTTTTCTCAAATTGTGGAAATTATCCTTTATTATTTTGTTAAGAAGGCCTTTTAATCCCTTCTCTCTTTCCACACCTTCTGTAATTCCTAGGATCAATAAATTTAGTCATTTGATAGACTCTTATAGCTCTCCAACCATGATTTTTAATTTTCTAATTTCTTGCTGTTTTAGTCTGACTGTATTATGTCCAGAAGTTTGTCTTCTAGTCCTGATATTCTTTCTTATGTTTCTTCTATTCTATTGCTAAGAGATACCACTATATTTTTATATGGTTGTCTATCGAATTCTTCATTTACAGTATTTCATTCTGGCTTCTCTTTAAAATCTCAATTTCTTGGCAGTGCTTTTCATTGAAATCATGAACTTATTTCTGATTGTTTCTAAGTACTTTGACTATTAATTTTCTGAATTCTTTTTCTGGCATATCCTCTATCCCTTCTTCAGCATCCATTATTGAGGAATTGTATTGTTCCTCTGGTGAATGCATAAAGTATTCCTTATTCTTATTCAGGATTTTTCCTTTGTTCTTTGGCATTTCTGGTTGATTTAATTTTGAATTGATTTCCTTCTGCTGTATACTTCTATGTGTTTGTTCATTTTAAGTGGAAGCATGCAGCCTCACCTCCTGGAGCTCTGTTTACTTCTGGATCATGATGGAGGCAGTTACCAGGGCTTTGGTACACTAAGCCCTGCCTACTGGGGCCAGGTGCACTTCTTACTGGTGAATGAGATGAGCTTAGTTTTTCACTGTTTCGGACTACTCCTTGTTGTGCAGCTTGCATTGTGGGGATGAAATCACTCTGAAATGTTGTGATCCTTGTGCCCAGGAGGAGCATGTTGTGAGGTGGCCCCCTGCAATAGATGGGTGTGTGCATGGAAGGCAGACGGGCGGTCCCCTGCTTACACTTGAAAATATAAATGATCAATATGGCTTCTCCCTGCTAGCTATAAATCCAGGTGTGGGGAGGGGAAGAGACACAGAAGGACCATGGCATTCCCAACCTCTCTGCCCATTGCCCAACAATTTCTCCTTCTTACTGCTTGGAGTTTCAAACGCAGTGCAGTTCACCAGTTTCCCCTCTCGCCACTCTTCAAAGCTCCATGGACTTGTTCCCTCTCATCTGGTTTGCTGGGGGAGGGGCCTATCTCCTTTCTGGGTCCCTGTTATACCTCCATCTTCCTGAACAATGGCAAATTCTTTTTTTAAAAAAAATTAAACCATGTACAAATTTTTGGTTAAATCTGTAGAATAAGTTAAATTTAAATTGTGTATTTCTGAAGCATAGTTATGTAGTTTTAAAAAGCAATCAATCAATCAATCAATAAAGGCTTCTTTAAGAAATTAAATCAACAATTTGGCATAAGAGCCAAGCAATCTTACCATCTGTTTTTGTAAAAACAATTTTGTTGGAACAGAGTCATACTGAATCATTCACATATTTCATATGACTACTTTTATGCTATAAATGTAAACAGAGACCATACAGTTGGCCAGCCCTGAAACCTCTTCTTTGTAGTTCATTTCCTGTCTTCCTTCTAACCACCATTAGGTGTGTGTGTGTGTGTGTGTGTTTTCAGGAATGTTTTCTTAGATAGCTGAAGTCCTTTGTTTATACCCAGATAGGCTAGAAGTGTTAACAAATTAGTGTTCCTAATCAGGCCTTAGCCAACAACTTTCTGTGGGGGGGTGGAATAACTGAATTGCCTGTTCTATTTCAACTTCCAACATTTCTCAAACACATAAGGTGCTATTCTCCCACAGTGGTACTGTGATATCTTTCCTTTCATATTTCATTCCTTATGTCCCAGCCACTCTTTCCTGGATTGTGTCCCAAATAAACTACTTCACTCTCAAAAACAATAATAATAATTAAAATCACATGGTCACAAAAGTTGTGATCTGGCTCATTGGAAGAAAAAGTATGCCAACTACTTTTCTAGACCACTCCAATATAAGAGATGAAATTTTAAAATGCCTTTTTAGGTCAAAGAAATAGTACAATTTCTTTACTGAATAAGGTGACTTAGGGAAAGATCACCTTAAGATGATAAACTTTACACTATCAAGAGAGCAACCTTCAGGAAACATTCAGGAGAGCAACCATTAAAAAATATATTTTGAGGCCGCACTGTGGCATAGTGGGTAAAGCTACCACCTGCAGTGCCAGCATCCCATATGGCCACTGGTTTGAAACCCAGCTGCTCTACTTCCAATGCAGCTCTCAGTTATGGCCTGGGAAAGTAGAATATGGCCCAAATCCTTGGGTACCCGCACCCATGTGGGAAACCTGGAAGAAACTCCTGGCTCCTCGCTTCAGGAGAGTGAACCAGAGGATGGAAGACCTCTCTCTCTCTCTCTCTCTCTCTCTCTCTCTCTCTCTTTCTCTCTCTCTCTCCCTCTCTGTCTCCCCTTCTCTCTATGTGCAACTCTGACATTCAAGTAAATAAATAAATCTTTTTTAAAAAAATAGATTTTTTTAAAAATACATCTTTGTATTATATTTGCTTCATATTTAGTTATGGATACATGAAAGTAACTGGAAGGAAATAGATGAGAAAAATAATGAATTTAGAGAAAAATTACATCAAAAATAAGGGCCAGAATTGTGGTACAGCAGAAAAAGAACCTGAAATACTAGTTCAACTTCCAATCCAACTCCCTGCTAATGCACCTGGGAAAACTGCACAGGATGGTCAAAATGCCTAGGCCACTGCACCTATGTTGGAGACCTAGATTAATTTCCTGGCTCCTGGTCCTGTTTTCAGCCTGGCAGTTATGACCCTTTCGAGAGCAAACCAATGACTGCAAGATATCTCTCTCTTTCTCTTTCTCCCCTTCTCTTTATCCCTCTCTCTCTCTCTCTCTCTGTAACTCTATCTTAAAAAAATAAATAAATATTTAAAAATGAAAATAAAATGAGGAGTACATCTGGACTGGCTTAATGAATAAGTTGGCTCAAAAGCAAAAATAAGAATGAAAAAATTATTTAAATCACCATTGTAGAATTTTGGAAACTGACAAAAGCACACAATAAATTGAGAAATTTTTGATCAGGAAAAACTATGAAATCTCACAAACAATATCTTCATTTCAGCATAGATCTCTTCTCACATCCTGCAGGACAGAAGTGCACTAATTTTACAAGGTCAACACAGGCCATTAGGCACATAAATCCAGCTGCCATTGCACCTGAACTAATTTGAAGCCAGAGTGCTGAAAAACAGATCAGATAACATTTCAAAAACAATATTACAGCCTGTGCTGCAGCTCAATAGGCTAATCCTCCGCCTGCAGCGATGGCACACCCGGTTCTAGTGCCAGTCAGAACACCGGATTCTGTCCCGGTTGCCCCTCTTCCAGGCCATCTCTCTGCTGTGGCCCAGGAAGACAGTGGAGGATGGCCCAAGTGCTTGGGCCCTGCACCCCATGGGAGACCAGGATAAGTACCTGGCTCCTGCCATCGGATCAGCGCGGTGTGCCAGCCACGGCGGCCATTGGAGGGTGAACCAATGGCAAAGGAAGACCTTTCTCTCTCTCTCTCTTTCACTGTCCACTCTGCCTGTCTCTCTCTCTCTCTCTCTCTCTCTCTCTATATATATATATATATATATATATATATATTACTACAGTGTGAGCATTCAAGGAATAGCTTCTCAAGTAAGACCATTTTTCAGCTACCTTCATATTATTGGCTAAATCAACTAATTGTCATAAAAATACAGAAGTCTGTGTATCAGACATAGTATCCATTGGCAAATTTTATCTACCACTCATCATCTGGAAGGCTGTATATGTGCACACGACCACAAACATATTAATCAGAATAAGAAGCTGCTTAATTGTTCATGGTTGAACATGAGGACTTGAATATGCAAAGAGTAAAATGTTAGGCTGACTAGAGACCAGGAATCTGACTGGACTTGAATAAATTTTCTAAAACAAACACAGATTTACTAACAAAGGATGAAAACATTATTTGATTAACCACAATCTTTAATGAATGCTTTGTTTATCACTAATACATTTTAACCCAGGATTGACTTCTAGGAATCCAGGTTGAAAAATTCAAAACTCTTTAAGCAAAGGCATTAACAACCACACATTGATGAATAAGAACACTTTGGAGAATTAATACTGAGAGACCACTAAACAAACAAATCTGTACATAATTCCCAGAATGGAGAACAAAATTTGAACTGAAATTGTTATAACATATCATGTATTCTATTTAGTATACAGTTCACTACAACAATTAAAAATCATAAAGAAAGTGCAGGAAGAAGAGAGCATGAAAAATGCTCATTAAAAAAGCAATCGACAGTAACTGTCTCTGATGAGATGATGCAAATGATGAAATTAACAGCAACAGACTTTAAAGCAGATATTATAAATAAGTATGAAGAACTAAAGGATAAGACATAAAGGAATCAAAGAAAAGTATTATGACAATGAGAAGTAAAATATGAATACAATAAATGCATAAAGTACAGAGAAGGACATAGAAATGAAATTTATAACAAATGAAATTTTAAAAATCTCTGGATGGACTCAATAGCAGAGTTGAGCAGTGTTAGTAAAATGGCACAGTCTTATCTGTGGCTCCATCTCTGCCCCAGGCACCAATTTAGTCTCTGGTCCTGTGACCATCTATACAATCAGCCTCAGCCCTAAGCCCAGCCTGGCTCACTAGAAGTCAAGTGATCAAGTGGCCCAACCACAAGTGTCAGCTCCACCTCCACCCTAACAGGATTCGCTGCTCCCACTTCCCTAGCCCTGCTAGGCTATAACAAGACCTGCGTTACCACACAGGCTTTCTTCTCTTTCTCTGTTGCCCTCTCTAGCCCTCTCTCTCCAGCCTGTCGGGTTCCTCTCTCCTGACGATGAGCCGTCTCCTTACCCCAGTGTATGGTCTGTTTTGTGGTGGGCTTTCACTGGTGCTGTGACTCAGATCCAGGCTCTCCTGTTGACCTTGCTCTTTTCTTGGGGATCTGAAATGTTTTGGGTTCCTGGATTCCTGCCAACCACGAAACTCCCCTGGACCTCCTTCTTTACCACCAAATGCTCTGTGATTTCCATCCACACCCTGGCCCTCCAAAACTCTGAGGGAAGACAGGCAACAGGGAATTCTGCCATGGCGACCTCTACCATGGGTTGAGGTTCCACTCGGCTTCATCTCAATGTCCTGGTACCAGGTACCACACGTCCACAGGCTGTACACCTTTCCACAAGCTTTACTCCTCAGGCAACAGTGGGCATGGATGATGACCCCCACCAACTGCTTCCCTTCCATGGTCTCCATGCCTCGGGCTCCAGTGAGTGCGGTTGATGACCCCACTCTCTGCTCCCACACTCCCACTTTGGACTGCCATGATACTGGGGATGCCTGCTATCTGCAAGTCCAATCATACGGGTCACTATGGGGACTTCTTCATGCTACATTCTGTCTGATTCTCCTGTCAGTTGTCCTAAATAATCTTGTTCCTCTCAAATTGGCTCCAGACCTCAAACAGTACAAACTCATCTTTCTTTGTAATCAGGCGTGGTCCATGTATGACCTCGACGACCAGTACAAATGGCAGCTTAACAGTACATTCGACCCTGACATTATTCAGGATCTCTACCACTTCTGTAAGCATCCAGGAAAAGTAAAGGAGATTCCTTATGTTTAGGCTTTCTCCTATCTCCAATCTAACCCTTCTCTTTGCACTTCATGCTCCCTGGCCAAGGTCCTCTTAGCCTCCAAAGTCCCCACTCAAGATTCAAAACCAAAGCCCCTTTATT